GCTTTGAGGTTTAAAAAGCCAAGTCATTCCCAGTTAGTCTACCTCTACCTCTACCTCTACCTCTACCATCTCTACCTCTCCCTCTCCCTCTGTCTCTCCCTCTGTCTCTGTCTCTGTCTCTATCTTCCCCTGACCCCACCTTGTGCTTGTGGATCAGACATAAGCTCTCATCTCCTATTCCAGTGCTGTACCTTCCTGTCTGCTATCATGCTTCCTGCTAGACTCTAGCCCTCTGGAACCAGAAGCTCCAATTAAACGCTTTATTTTATAAGTCACTTTGGTCATGGTGTTTTGTCAGGGCAGTAGAAAAGTAACTAAGTAACTTCCAGAGGACTGGAGTTCAGATCCTAACCCCCACATCAGACAGCTCACAGTCACTTGTAACCCCAGCAACAAGGGATCCAATACCTTCTCCTGCTTCTTCAGGGACCTGCACACATATGTGCATGCACACATAAAGGCATACATATATATATATATATACACACATATATATATATATATTTTATATATATATATATATATATATATATATATATATATATATATACATATATATATAAAAGTCATCTTTAAAAAAATTCTTAAGATCTGTTACTGTTTAAGACTTGGCAACTCCAGCATAAAAGAATACTACCGGCCAGGGGGTGTTGTATACACCTTTAATCCAAGCACTCAGGAGGCAGAGGCAGGCAGATCTCTTGAGTTCAAGGCCACCCTGGTCTACAGAACAAGTTCTAGGACAGTCAGGACTACACAGAGAAACCCTGTCTCAAAAAACAAAAAACAAAAAAAAACAAAAACCAACCCTCCTGAGCTGGAAGTGTGGCGTGATTGTGCTTAGCTTGTACAAGACTCTGGGTTCTCCAACAAAGTAAATTTCCACCTTAGAAAAAAACTCTGCACATGAACACTGTGGCTGTCATAGACTCTGTGTGCACAGCCATGTGTTGGTGCAATTAAGGAATGGTTGGACAGATGATAGATCTTCTCTCAGCACTCCAGCCCACTGGACAACAGAGACGTTAGGGACCATGAGAAGCCCAAATTGAGTTCCCAGGTAACTCCAAAGACGCAGACCATGATGCCCTACCAGCTTGTACCTATGAAAACAAGGTAGTCAGCCTTCCTGTGCCCTGATCTAACCACATAAATGTCCCCACCTGCCTCTCCAGGACAGACACAGGCTGCCCAGGTACCCATATGGCTCACAAGCCCACCTGACCTCAGCCACAGAAAAGGCTCTGAGAACTGCAAGTGTTGCGCAAGTCATGGTGATATTTGTCACTGTTATAACGTGCTGGGAGGATAGCTCTGGTGCAGGCTGGTGGACGGAAAGCTCACTTCCAATCAGATCCATCTTGTGGCCTCTCATCTCCTTTCTGAATCCACATTCAAAACTGCATAAAGGTGCCCTTGCAGTGGCCCCTCCCCCTCTGGGGCAGTCCCAATATTCCAATGTTTACCCAAATGACAGCTAGAATAAAATCCTGTACATACGTGGAGTACTGTCTCCTCATATACAGGGAACAGCGCATGGCTTCCTTTATCCCTGCCTGATGGGCCAGCTTTGAAATTCTTGCACTGTGGGGACATTATTCAGTCATATAACAGTGACTTAAATACGACACCAGGACACCATAGTAGTCTGTCAGACGGCAGAAGCTGCTGCTCACCACTTGACTCACAGGCAAACAGTGCAGCCAGCATGCACTCACTGGGCATGAGTAGACAGACGTCTCCAGGTTGCATCACACTACTTGAAACGGCACACAATTTAAAGTGGATGAATGGCTTATTTCTGTAATTTTCCACTTACTGTTTTTTGGACCTCAGTTGACATCGGGTAACTGAAACCGAGGAAAGTCAAACCTCAGATGGGGGAAGGGGGAGGGGAAGACTGCTATTACTGCAGGTGAAACCGCTTGCCCTTAAGTGCTCCAACTCCCCTACACCCTACTCCTTACCCCAACTTCACCTGCATTCTAACCCCACTGCTGTGAGGCTCGTGACGGAGGGCATGGGAGGCTGTGACTACTGTTACCCAGGTGTCCAGGGTGCTAGCCCTTGTGTGCAGTCAGCCTAGCATCAGAAGCCATGATGGCCACCCCATCCAGGTCTCTGGGGGCCAGTTCTCATGTACAGGGCACCTGGAATGGGGCACCTTAGTGGGCAATCCATTCAGCTATCATCATCAGCTTTTAGGAGTCTGAGAAACTGCTTCTTCAGCTCTTTGCAAGGGTCAGGAGTGTCTGTGACAGGCATCCTAACTCCATCCTGCCCCCTAGAACCCCTGGAACTCTTCTGCCCAGTCCTTTGGACCACATCTGTTGAGTAAGATGAAAGTATGAGTTGAACATTAAACCACTCAGCCCTAGCCAGCCTGGGCACAGACTGGAAAATATGTTTGGCCATCAGGGCCTGAAGCTGGGCAGAAAATCCAGTTCTGAATCAGGGGAAGGGTGGTTAGAATTCATCCAAGGTCGGCAAGAAAGGTAGCGGAAGCAGAGCCAAACGAAGGGCAGGACATGCCATAAACAAATGAATGGGACACACCAAGTTGGGAAGCAGGGAGCAGGGCAGGCCAGGCAGTGGCCTAGAGAGGCTGGCAGGGAAGGCTGGCAGCGAAAGGAAGGAAAATCCTGAACCCACCCTTTCCTCCCTCTTAGGAGCCTGCTCAAAGCACTTGCCTCACCCACTGCGAGGAAGCAGGTGCTGAGTGCTCTGGGGGGAGCCAAACTTTCTCCTTGTTTCCCCTGGGCCACTTTCCCACTGGCAGGGCAGCACAGGGTCTCCCATTCAGTGCTGTAGCCTGCCCAGTCTCCCTTGTGCAGAACTCACCACAGGCAGCAGGTAACAGAGGGCCACAGCAGTAACCAACCCCCCACCCCCAGCTATCGAAGTCCTAAACTGTGCCCAGTACACATGTGAATGAATACCTACTGAGTGTAAAAAGGATAAAAGTCCCTGTCCTGAAACTCACCTGATGGCATGGGTGGAACCCCCTCAGGCAAGGTAAAGATAGATAAGCACGGTGCATAGTGTGTGAGAGGCCATAAGCACAGAGGCTCAGAGGCTGAGTAAGCAGCTAAACCAGAGTGAGAAACAACCGAGAAGCTGAGGAAGGGCAGCTTCGGGGGGAGAACCTAAGGTTTTGCTCCAAGTGAGGTGGCACACCTCTGGCTTTGGAATATATATTGCATATTAGTGTGACATTTGATCTTGCCGGCTTCATGAAGTGGGTACTATTGCTAGCTCCCATTCTAGAGCAGGACAGCTAAAGGAGGGGGTGGCTAGGTAATGTGTTCAAGGCCTCTCAGTTGAAACCAAAAAGTCCAGAGAATATGGAAGGGATAAATATCCGGGCATGGGTGCTAGGACCCAGTGGAATTTTCTTACTGCTGGGGAGGTGGGTTCTGAGGACCATCACTACCACCCGGCCCCAACCTATCCAAACTCCCACAAGGGTACTACCACTGTGCAAGTGGACACAACCCAGAAACAGGACGATGGGCCACCTGGCACACGTGCCTCTCAAAGGCAGGCAGTCCTTCCAGCTCCTAGCTGCAGGCTCCAGCTGGAACACCATCCTATGCCCTTCTGTCCTGACCTTGGACCCTGCTCTGTAAACAAGGCTCATGAGCCAGATGCTGGCCCCTGCCTCACGATCCCTAAACCCTAGACCTTCCCTCAGCCTTCCCAACCAGCCAAGGACATTCTGTTCTTAGCTCTTAAGTAGTAGCTCAGTACAGATGACGAGTCATCAGTATTCTCTCCCCACCACCCTCTCTGGTACAAGGTATGCCTTTGTGATCCTGGCCAGGTTTCTAGCCAGACTACTCCCAGTCCCAGTCACAGCTCCCCGACTACCCTGCTGTTACTAGAGGGATCTGTGAAATGAATACTCCACATCTGGAGGGCCCAGTGTGGCAGCTAAAGTCTAGGAGAGGCTGGCCAAGGGAGCCAGGTCTCTGCATCTGGCCTGAGTGAGCAGAAGTGACGTGGCTTCTACCATGATGGCAGCCAGGAGTCTGAGAGTCCAGGTGTATCTCTGGGAAACCCGAGATGCAGGGAGAAAGAAGGAAGCAGGCTACAGTCCCAGGCAAGTTAGGGTTGGAACAAAGGAAAACTAGATGACCTGACTGTGTGTCCCATGTCTAAGCTGGGCAAGTGACCACAAGTTTGTGAAAGATGCCAACAACCAGACTCAGACTCCCCCCAACACTGGCACCACCATAGTTATTCCCCACCAGCCAGCAGATCTGGCCTACATGGAGCCCCTCTGCACATTCCTATTCCGCCACTGTCTGTCTGTCTGTCTGTCTGTCTGTCTGTCTCTGACACACACACACACACACACACACACACACACACACACCGCCCTTCTGCAGTCCTCAAAGCCGACCTGTCCCCAGAAGGCAGCAGAGTGGGACCCGGAAAAGCTATGGAAGCAGGAAACCTGCCAACGCTCATCAGGCCAGCTGGAATCAGTCTGCAGCAGGCCAGCTCCACAGCCTACAACTCACAGAGGTCCTGCCCCTGTCCGAACTGTTCTGGAAACTTGACAGAGAAGAGGGGGATGAGGGCCATAAAAGCAGAAAAACAGAGTCATAGGGACATAGCAAAGCTGAGGAGAGGAGCAGAGGCCACCACCTCATAGCTGGTCTCTGGGAAACACCATCCATCCCTCTGCCTCCTGCTGAAGGGTACAAGACCTGCAGCCAGGAGTGTAGACAGCGATACCACAGCGCGCCCTCGCTCTCCAGGCCCTAGAACAACAGTAACCTAGCCAGGCCCAGGGACATACAAGATGGCCTTTTATGGGTTTTCTCAAAGACCTCAAATCTCCAGACACACAGAGCAGGCCCTGCATCATGTCAGGAGGGACCTCATGACTCATTTCCTCCCACCAGCCCAAAGCCCTCAACCCTCTCCACCCCACCAACCCAGCTCCCATCACGCAGGAGAGACTGAAAAAAGAAGAGAAGGCAGTCACTCACCACCAGTTCATGGCTGGATGGAGGAACACAAGGGGCAGCCACCTGTGAGAGAGGTAAAGAAAGTCCTTGTTAGCTTCTGTCCCAGCAGCCCCTGGGCCTCCTGAGCCCACTCTTACCCCATTCTCAAGGGGACAGCCTTCCCTGGGGCACAGGGGGAGCTCTTCAAAAGGCTACCCGTAAAGGCTAACATCAGACAAGAAACATGAAATGCCAAACACTCTCACAGGTTAAATCCTGTAAAACATAACACACCCTCCTGGAGGTCAGCATGGCAGCATTTAAATCCTGGATCCTGCCAAAACCATAATGCTTCCTCCTTACCCCCTCTTTTCCCAATCCTCTACATGGTTGAAAGATGGACTTAAAATATTTGAAAAACATGACTTAGACCTATAGGAAAGGAAAAGCCTGTTCCCCACTCTTCTCTCCATAGCCAGTGGCGCATCCAAACTCAGAGCTGGCCGGAGGCTCCCCCAGGCTGGGAACCACCAGATCTTGCAGGTATAGCGCAGAACACTTTGGGAGGGAGGCAGCACCCATGGGAAGGGGTCTATCATTATCAGTTCATCCTCACCTTTCTCTGAGCCAAGGTCATGGCAACTAGACCTCTAGAGGAAGGAGAGAGGAAGGAGGGCTCAGTGGCCACACCACCCTGACAATTAGCAGGGCACGTGTCAGAGGCCAGTGCATTCCTTTCTCCAGCCAACACAGTTTTCTTGGATCTCAGTACTCAACCTTGGCTCTGAGTCCTCACCCAAGCACCAGGCCAGAGGCCCACAGAGAGGCAGAGGGCGGTGAAGAGGCAGCTGCCTCTTCCAGATGGTAGGCAACCCCATCCTACTTGCAAACATACCAACATTTACTGAGCTGGTACCACCTGGCAGGAATGTTACTAAATAAAGTGCTTTGCCCTTTCAACAACCAGAAAGGCAGACTCTAGTGTTACCTCCCCAGGGAAGTGTGAGGCACAGACAGGGTAAGCAATTCACCCGAGGTCACATAGCAGATGTGAGGCTAGGAAATGAACCCAGGCAATCTGGGTCCCAAGATTTGGTGTGAAGAAGTCTGATGGCTCGTGGCCCTTCCTATCAGAGAATGAGGGGTGCACAAAGAGCTCAAAGTTCAGTCAGTCCCTGATTCACACAGAGCTAGAGGTAAATGTTTTAGAAGAGCTTCCTCTGCGAACAGGGCCCAGAGTGGGAGCAAAGATGGGGAAGACAGAGAAGGTCTCCAGAGCTGCCTACGGTCATCCTGACCAACAGCCAGGGCTCAGCCACAGGTCACATACACAGCTGTCTGCCCTTTACAGTCCCAAGCCAACCCCACCATGGGGCTGTGACAACATGGGGTAGGCTCTCAGAGACCCTCTCCCACCTCATCAGATCTCCATAGGATCTGGGTAAAGTTTCTGGGCCACATCCTGGCTGAGCTCCATCCTCAGCAGACAGACAGACAGACAGACAGTCTCAGCCTATGGGCACTGCAGGAGATCAGGGTTGCCTGGCTTCCAGAGCTCAAACTGGCCTCCACTGCATAAAGTAGTTTTGAGATGTGTAGAGAGTCTCTCTCCCAGGCCCATCCTAACCCTGGACTCTTTCCCCAACTCCCAAGGTAGATGTACCCACTAAGAACCAGCACCTAAGGGGGTACAATCACGTCCTCATGCAATGCTATATCCCAGGGGCTTTTCCACCCTGGGGGGGCCCATAGCTAACTGGGCCATGGCTGCTGGCCCATGGACTTCTGTGTCTCAGACCTTCTGGTCTCATTCTTGCTTTTTTTTTTTTCCCTGAGGCACAGAAATGTTTCCTTAAAAGGCCTCCTGTCTCTCCTTCCCTCCAGCACCCTGGCCCCTAGCCACCCCTCTCAGGAGCCCAGAACGTGCCAGGAGAACCAGGGGCCGCACCACTCCACAGCCTGTGCTCAATGGCCCCACACTCCTGCCATCAGCAGTGGCTGACTCCACTGACTTTAGGGGACTTAAGGGCCCTGGGCTGTCTTCAAGGGCTCTGATGACAGCCCTGCTGTGACCTTACCTCCAGGCTAGGCACCCAGGATTCCAGACACAGGTGGCCAATCTCAGGTGAGCTGCCCTCCCCCACCCCACCCCACCAGCCCTCTGGAATCAGCCTAATGCCCCATGTCCCCAAATGAAAGACAAAGGACAGGACACAGCAGCAGCAACCTCCACCACCACACTCATCTCCAACAGCCATGGCTCGGGTGCAGTATGACAACTCATCCAGGGCTAACGAGGGCCTGGGTTCGTTACTCAGCACATGGGAGGGGAGACTGCAGCTGGACAGAGGCAAGAGCCTGCTCTGCTCCATATCTTCACAGAGCACAGACCACACAGACACCTGTCCGTTTCTCCTTTCACTACCTCACTACTCTGTAAGGGGAAGACCTGGGCCCCAGTTGGATGGCACTCCTGTCCCCAAAGTCATAATAAAACCTAAGTTCTAAGCCTTGCTTACATAAAACTCCAGATTCCAAAACTGGCCAGGTCCTCCAGAAGAGTCCCCAGACTTATGGCCCCAACCCAAGAACACATACAGGAAAGTTCATATTCCTATATAGAATCTTATTACTCTGGGGTCTAGCATCCACAGTATCCAGGTAGAAAGACTATCTTGGGTTTCCTTCCTAATATCCGCTGGGTCTGTGTTTTTTCTTGTTTTATTTGGTGGCAGCTATTTGAAGCAGGGTCTTAGACTATAGCCAACACAAACTTAGAAACCGTCCTTTCTTGCCTTAGCCTCCTCTGTGATGGAATCATGGGTTTAAATGATGATATACTTGACTCACCACTTTTTTCTAATAGAAATAATTTTAGAAATGTGTTTGTGTGTGTGTGTGTGTGTGTGTGTGAGAGAGAGAGAGAGAGAGAGAGAAAGAGGGGTGTGTGTGTGTGTGTGTGTGTGTGTGTGTGTGTGTGTTGGGCACATCTGTACCACAGCACATGTACAAACGTCAGAGGAGTCAGTTTTCCCCTTCCACCATGTGAGTCCTGAGATAGCACCCTGGTGTTTGTCAGCAAGAGTCTTTACCCTCTGAGCTGTGTCATTGCTCTTCTCCCTGCTTATTGCAGCAAAATACATATAACATAAAAAGTTCCATCTTAGGGATTAGAGATGTGGCTCAGTGGTAGAACTCTTGAGTGGAATATATAAGATACTGGATTCAGTACCTTGTACCATGATGATGCAGAAGAAGAAGAAGAAGAAGAAGAAGAAGAAGAAGAAGAGGAGGAGGAGGAGGAGGAGGAGGA